GTCAAAGTGATTTCTTGCTCAAGTGAGCATTGAGGACAGCGGTCATCTTCTGGTCATCTTCTGCTAACATCTCTGAGCCAGGGAGGATACATTCCACATTCCTATGGTGGGGGCAGAGTCGATTTCTTAGTAAAACGTCTTTTACAATTTTCTTACCAGGTCCCACCGAGGTTTGAATTCAGATCACAGGATTCAGTCCTGAATGCTAAACATGCATGACACCATTGAACCACGCGACTGGGCAGATCATTTAACCTGTATTAAATGTAAACTTCACCTGAGTGACAGCTCACACGTTCACGGGGTGTTCGCTGTGCAATTTCCTTTCACGGGTGAATAGGAAATCACGGTATAAATTTGTGAAGGCGGTTGCGTGCTTTGCTAAATACCCCCACGCATCCATCACTGATCTGGCATGGCAGATTGGGAAGAGAAATGAGATCTTGCCGCTGAGAATTCAGGGTCTCCCATGTTTCATGTGACCTTGCACCTCACAGCTCCCACCCGATTATAAATACAAGAATTCATTGATCCATCCATTCCATCCAAAGGCTTTTAAATGCCACGTTAGGAGTTGAAGGCTTGCGTTGTGGCTCATTGTTCCTCCCCGAGGACACTCGCCCTCGCAGGTGGACTCGAGACCAAGATCTGTGTGTGCACTCAATGTCTTAATGCAGTGGGTTCTTAACCTTTAGTGCAGCCTTGCAACCCCTTTGGTTCTGTCGTTAACAACGTTTTGTGAATAAATACGTGGAGTTTGATGAAACGAGTAGTTGTACTTTACGTTCCCGTGCTTAATTTGTGTTTCTGTTCCACTGGTCAACAAAAAAAAAAACATGTTTTTCTGGCCTGGACTTTTGCAGCTGTTTTAGACAAATTTCAGGGTGCCGATTCCCAATCTGAGCTCAGATTTGCTCTATCACATTATTTTTATGCTATCGGCATACTCCATTTTCATTGATTTTACCCGAAACTAACTCTGTCACTTATGATTGCAAGTTGTTGCGAGTCAGTGACTGCTTTAGTGTTAAAATATGGTGCTGTATTTTTAGGATAGTGTGTTTATAATATCAATTTATGTAGATATCCACATCTATTTAATATTTTTCTTCTGCAGTTTTTATTGAAAATGCAATATTTGATATCTCAAAAACCTGATGTGATAGACAAAAACTGATGCCAGATTTGTAATCAGCACCCCAAAATTACCTTAAAACCGTTGGAATACCTTATGCCAGAAAAAGTGTGTTGACCAGTGTTATTTATCCTTTTAAAAATAATCGGGCATGTCTCGCACGTCCAGAAAGGGCATCTCGCACCCCAAGTTGAGTACCACTGTCTTAATGTGTTTGTGTTCGTTAAAAAGCCATGCCCATGCAAGTGGCATTATATATTTTCCCAATAAAAAAAAATTACGTGAGTTTTTACTAAAAACTTATTATTTTGCTGATAGCAATTGACAAAAAAATGCATTGCTCAGGAGTTACTTTTGCAACACAAACTGAGACGGCTTCTTTTGGTTATGGAGCAACAACTAATAATGTGTAGATTACATTCTGCTTTATTTGGACACGGAGCTGGGACATTTGGAGTACGACATTCTCATTGAACCACCAATAGGTTACCACTTAATTCCAATATCCGTTGTGTTTCAGAAAAAAGTGCAGCCCTGCGATTTCTTGTTCAAGCCACTGCTGGGAGATGTGCTTTCACTAGAGGAGACTTGCAGAGAAATCCCCTCTCGAGGGAATATGGCCTACTCTTCCACACTGGTTAGACATCCTGGAAGAAGTGGAAGCACCTACACTTTACCCTGATCGTCAGTGGTGCACACATGCATCCTGATAGGTCGACCGATATGAGGGGGCTTTTTAAGAAACGTGCCCCTTTATTTCAGCGGCCGCGCCAGGAGATTGAACCGGCGACCTTTTGATTGCAATTTCAGTGCACTAACCCATCACACACCATGGCAGCGAATGCACGCGAGTTAAAATGTGGATTGTCTTCCTTTCTCGCTTGACCTTGCCCCATGCACCGCTGGGGAAGAGCCATAGCCACCAGTGGGGCCTACCCTGGTTTTACCACGCAGAGCCAAACCGACTGCCAGTTTGCGATGACATCACATGTGTGGGACTGGGGACCCTGCGGTCAATTATTAATGCAATGCGTTCAACCCTCCACGCAACAGATTTTCGTTTCGGTCCCTAATGACTACAGGCGCATGCAATGTGAATTACACTCACGCCTTCAATTCCGCCCAGGTGGGGGGGAGGGGGGTGTGTGGAAAAAAAGCATACAAAACGAGCAGAGCATTCTGTAAATGAACAAAATATTGTAGTCTTTATTGTTGTTTAAGCAGGTATAGACAATTATTATATCATGTAACGGTTAGAGCACAACAGCATCACGAGAAGGGAAAGCAACAGTAAACGTATAAAGAAAATGGTATGCATGAAGTCACACGCGCTCTCTTAAATATAATTTTTTAAACAGTCTTGCAACCTCTACATCACAAAAACAGAACGAGCCATTAATGCCAGTTTTTTTTTTAGTGATGCTGTATACCTGCTGAGGTGCGATACAGGGTTCCGAAAGCGGAGGCGGCATTGAAATTTGTAACAAGAAAAGTAAAATTGAAATCAATCCCGAGCTGGTTCTAGTGCACAGCTAAAGGATTTTTTGTTTTACTTTTAAAGAGCAAAAACGTAAGAAGAGGACAAAAAGAAACAAAAAAAAATCGTCTGAAAAAAATGTTATCTATTTAACAACGTACCATTTATTAAAAGCAAAAAATCAAGTAATCGAGCAATACAGATGGACTTTGTTTTGCAGAGCACTGCAAGCCACAGCTGTTCTTTGCACTGTACACAAGCGTGAACTTTGCACACAAGCGCGTGCCTTTCTCGCGCAAGGCAACCAAAAGAAAATTACACCTAGGAGACCGCAACTTCAAAAGGAACCCGCCCTCACTCATGCCCTTGCAGTCTCAGTAATAATAACTCAATGGCAGCCAGCCCTCTCTCTTTGTTTTTCACCGATATGAGCAAGTATTCAGTTTAACAGGACGTATGGGCGAGGCTCCGATGAACCAATCGCAAAAATCCTCGATGCTTGCTCTCAACGCACCGATTGAGGTGTCAGTTGTCGTCAAAAATTACATTTCATTTCGCATCCAGTCCAACACCTACGCTGTCACCCCCCCCCCCCCCCCCGCTTCAAAAACGCGAGCGTTTCCAGGCCGCGGATAAAGTTGTATCCGTTGACTTAACGCGCTTGTTTGTCACGACATTTTATATATATTTTTTATGTTATTTTATTAACGTTCATTAATGTTAATTAAAAAGAAACATCCCGATTAAGAACGGCACGAGCCCGATACGTCCTGTTAACGGCACTGTGGACACAGGCAAGTGCGTGGGCGCCAAATGTGCGACAGGAGCGAGCAGCTGGGGCCGTTCCTTCTGCTCCACAGCGCGTGAACACGCACCTCATTCATCCCGGCTCCTCATTTACCAAGGGTTCAAGCGCCTCAATATTCTATTTGAAAGGCTAAATATGGGAAAACATGGGGGGGCGAGGGGCTAGAGCTTCGGCTAGGTCTACCCCTAACTCCTCGGTCCAAACGACAGAGGAGGCCATAGCAGTAGCCTCATCGTCAAATAAGCTTGGCGGAATTAGGAGTGCACGTCTGCAACATCATAATGCTTACTGCGCCTTTGGGGGGCCTTGCGTTTTCGACGACCCGTTCACCTACGAGCGGCTTTACAAAAAAACGCGACAGCCGCGGCACTGGAAAGCGAACGTGGTCTCGTTTTTAGCCCCGGTAATTTTTACGCAAGTTGGGAAAAAATGTCATGCGTAAATGGCTGAACCCGCCTGGCCACGCCGCCTCTTTTAAGCCGTGATTGCATCGAATGAATGAGAGAAAAAAAAATAACAACATAAAAGTAACTGTGAGTCTCGCGAATTTTATCCCAGTGGCCAGAGGTCCCAGGTAAAAAGCAAAAGATGTACTGGATATCGCGGGCAACATTTAGCCGACACCGGCAAATAGGCGCAGAGCCATCGTGGCAACGCGGTTGAGAGTTCGTCGTGAAATGTATTAGCAATCGTTTTGGTTACATTCTGAAATGCTTGGTATTTATTTCAAATTGTAATGCCTTGCTTTATTATAATCATAGATATGAACCCAAGACAAATTTAATTAGTTTCAATGGGGTAATATTTTGGAATCACTGTAAAAACGAACTTTGCTCTAATGTTGAGGACAAATTAATCTCCAGTAAAGTTCTGTTTAAAAATACAACTTTGATGTGGTTTAAATAGTTTTTTTTATGTTTACAAAACTGATTAGATCCAAACAGTCCAGAAACATCAGCCTTGAGGTCCAGTACATCTGCTAAACGTAAGCGAGTGCGTTTCAAGAGAGGCTTTTACGCTGCCAACAAAAAAAAACAACTTTAATCACCCGCAAGACTCAGAACGGGGAAAGACAAAACAATGTTTTCTGCTACAATACAAAAAAAATGAATAGATGCAAGAGCGTTCATGCAAAGTCACAGTATTGCTAATATCTTATATTTCTGATTGCCCCATAATGCTCTGCTTTTTGTTTTTAACTTTTTTGTTTCTTTTTTTTGTTTTTTTTAGGATTTTTTTTATATTTTAATTTTTTACAAATCTTATATTAAACAAATAAAAAAAACAGAAAAAGTCTTTAATCATCCCCCCCCCAAGGTACATTCCAGATTTTTCGCCTGCCTCGCAGTGGGAGACAGAACACATTCAAAGCGTTGGGTCCGTGAGTGCGTGCGCGTGAGTGCGTGCGCGTGTGTGCGTGCGCGTGTGCCATGTGCCTGGTGCCAGTTTAACAGTTGCTGTGAACATGATGTACAACTGCACGACCCATCCCTGCTCCCTCCCATCCCACCTCCGCACACCCTCGCTACTCCCTAACACCCACCCCCACCCACCCCTCCCGACTTCCCTCCCACCCCAACCCAATCTCTTTCCCTCGCACCCTCTCTCTCTCTGTGCCGATGTCACCTGTGCAAGTATCAATATTAAAATCGCCGTCTTCTTTTATCCTTTGCCATAAATCACCTTGCCAATGGCTGTGCACCAGTGATCCTTTTTGTAAGCGCTGGGTGCTATAGCAAGCAGATCCTTCATGTCTTTGGAACAGGTTCTGTGTGGCCGAGTGGCTACGGGGGGCCCGTTTGCTAAAGCGGGTGCCGTTTTTCTTTTTGGGGTGACGCACGGCATCCAGGAAGTCGCAAAGTCGCGGCTAACACTTTTGCTTTTGTTGTTCTTATCATCTCCTCCGCCGTTGTCATCATCGCTGCCACAAGTTCATCTCTTTTTAGATTTCTGTTTTTACCTTATATTATTATTTCTTTTTCTCAAAATCAACAGACGCACCAGAACAGAGAAGAGTGCACTAATAACAAAAAAAAATAAAGCAAAGGTTAACGTATTAAAGGTTAAAGTGATATGGTTCAACTTCACTGTTCCAAGACTCCTTATCTTTAAGGCTGAGAATGGCCATTGAAGGAGTTTTGGAATTGAACAAAATAAACAATGACAACAAATAAAAAAAAACATCAACATACGAAAATACCTAAGAGCCAAGGTAAGCACCACTTAACTTCCTGCAAAAGTCACATTTCAACAAGAACTCAATCATAACTTGAAATGTTTTGCTTGAAGTTAGAGTTTGGCAGGGAAAAAAAAAAATATACACAATGGCCAAACCTCCCCCCCCCCCCTAACGCAAAGAGTTAAAGTTCGGTCTTTTAAACGTCCCTAGCTCCTCCAAAACGTGAACACGAACCAAGACTAAAAAAAACGATCGCACTCAGTCATTGCACACTAGATGAGTATTTAAGGCTAGCGAATCTAGCACCGAGCTCAGAGCTGAAGAGCAAGTTACGTGTCGCGTACGCGGGGGTTTTTCCCGTAGCACTGGCACACGCAAAACTTTTAAACAAATACTGTCGAGTTCTACTCTAACGTCTCTTGATCAGTTTATAAAAAAAAAAATTTGAAAAAATATACCAATAAAAAAACGACGACGACGACAAAAGAAAAGTCCTCATAACGACAAACGCAGCAGGCTTCTTACACGTACATGCGGGTTTTAGGGTTGTCTGTGGGGGGGGGGGGGAAGCGGTTTAAAAGTATGCCGAAAGCTGTCGGCACAACAAAAAAACGGGAACATCTGAAAAATATTTACAATGAGTTTATCAACCCAGCTCTGCCAGAGTACCGTCTAAAACGCGCTTGTCTCTCGTTTAATTCTACCGAGCATTCAAACACTGCTCATAGCTACAGTACGTCAGGGTTTGTCATTACAAGAAAACCAAAAATAACGACGCAAAAAACTATAACCGAGAAAAAATGTCTGACCCTCTCCACACCCCACATCCATCTCCGCCATCGCAGACAAACATTTCACAATAAATGCGTCTGTTTCAGTCAAAACTTCTCCGTTTGGGCTCCACTGGATGCACAAGTGCTCTCTGAATCGATGTTGAGACGCAGAAAAAAATATAATGTAAGTGGCCCGTTTTTTAAGTTTCATTTTTTATTCTTTTAGTAATAAAAAGAGCTACATGAGATATTATATCGTTGCCTTTTTTTTTTATCCTGCTTTTGCTTGTCCACTTGCTAGTGCCAGTCCTAATCACCCTGCAGAGTGTTCACAAAGCCCAGACACAGGTTGTAAGACAGGATTGTAGCACCATAGGCAAGGCATCTGGAACAATCCAATTGTTTTAAGTCGCACGCTTACCACGACGGGACGGGTTCCAGACAGAGAGAAATGCGTACGTTGGTTTTGCTTTAACGTTACCGTTACGGTTTTTCTCTCTTTCTCGCATCACGGTGCGCGTCTTACACACGTCGCTTTAGGTCCCACGACAAAACGAGCCCGACCGAACTCTCAGCCGCGATCTTCCGAAAGGGGAATCAAAATTCCCAACGCCAATAAATGTTTCTCGCCTGTCTTTCAAAGCCTTTCTCTTCTGTGTTTCGCTTGCTTGTGCAAAAAAAAAAATTGTACGATTATAAAAAAAAACAACTAAAAAAATGAAAATAATTATCAACAAAGCAAAAGAAACTATGTACAGGCGTGTCATTTCGGAAAGAACACTCGCTGGCTTACTCGGGGAAGGGGGGTCTCCTCCCGTCGCGTGGGGCAAATAGATCATCCGGTGGTCAGCGCGACCCTCTTTTTTTTTCCTCAAAAAATCCAGCGCACGACCTTTTCACCTGCGCACCGCCGCAGGCTGCTGCGAGGGTTGAGAGTGCACGGGGTGCGCTAGCGTCACGTTCAGCGAGTCGTTGTGCTGCACGAGCGAGGTCTGTTGGTAGTGCAGGACGAGTTCACGCAGCGAGCCGTACAGATTGTAGGGCTCGGCGAAGCCGTAGCCAGTGGACGTGCTGAAGATCATGCAGTGCTTCACCTCGCTGTCCACGCTGCGCAGGACCAAGCGTGGGCCAAGCGTGGGCCAGCGGTAGAGAGAGATGCCACCGGGGGGGTGGGGGGAAGCACGCCACAAGACAACACGCAACGGAAGACACAGACAACACAACGGGTATAAGTTAAGGATGACGCGCACATCACCGACGTGACACGAGGTTTCATAGCTGCTATCGCAAAAAAAACTCTCCTCTACGAAACGATTATCGGACATATATAAGCGATGAGGTTATCATTTCTGTAAAGGAGATCAAGGTGTACGCTTGGTAACTCCTCAGACAATCAAACGATCTTTTTGGTTTGCGCCTTCCAACGGGCCGAACTCGAGGATTTTTGTCCACCTCCAAAAATTACGGCGCAATTGCAAGTAGCTTGGAACAATAAAATAATATGGTGACACATCTCAAGGAAGCTGTATACAAAGTAGTGGGCATATTTTATAGACAGAGGACACAGTCATAAGGAGAGGAGAAAAAGCAATATCTGTGAGCCTGGGCAGGGAGTTTGACAGCACAAATGGCTGGAGTAAGGGATTTCCAGATTATGCACGGGGTATATCGGAGGAGATTGAGTGACCTACCCCCGGGCTAATGTTGGCATGTAGAAACAAAAAAAATATGCAGTGCGTTTTCCAATAACATCTGGTAACCCAGCAGTATGTGTTCAAAAAGCCTGACTGCCGAGACCCAAAAGGTTCAAACTGGTCCAGTTAACTTGCTTAAACAAACGCAGCTTGATAACATTGGTCTAGATATCCAATAAGCTGACGTACTAAAAAAAAAAGTGTATTTATGTGGAGACAGAACATTTTGCTGAGGTATTCTTTTACAAACGAAAAATAACGCAATAATCTGTGGCTTGGTGGGTTCATCGAGGGGCCAAGGGCTACGTGTATCAAATGCGCGAGTATGTTTGTGCGCGTGTGCGTGTCACTCACACGACGGAACAGGCATAGAAGCCGTGCTTGCTGCTCTTGCGGATCAGGAAGGTGCCGTTGGCTCGGTCCCTGAGCATGTCCTCGGCCTTCTCGCGGTTGATGTCGGGCACGTACCAGCTCTTCTCATCCTGGTGGGGCAGGTTCTCCTCCTCGTCGATGATCGAGTATGGGCTGCTAAAAGGGCCGCGCACACAACCGGCCTCGGTTAGCAGTGGACGTGCGACGTCACATCCGCGTGCACGTATGTGTGTGCGCGACGTTTGCTTAACACGTAGCCTTTCGCGACCAATGTTATCCATAAGAGGTTTTTTGGGTTATATCGCATAAAGAGAAATGTGTCGTTAAACCCGCCACCACCCCACACAGCCAATTAGTAAGCTTTGTTACTAGTACAGCACAACGGTGTGTTGGAGGGTCAACTCACAACATTTACAATTCGAGTACAATGTGTGACATTTGTTCGTTAACCCATAACACCTAGGTCCTTCCTACCCTGTGTGCTTTGGAACTTCATGTGGTTGCAACACGCTGAGAGTGACGTCACTACTAATTTTTGGCGAATGGCTGTTGTTGTTCTAGTTCATGTGGTGAAGCGGATTGGTTAACGCACTTTGCTTTGGATCCCGCGGCTAACACCGGTGTCGATTATCTGAATAGGTCCTGGGCCTTGACTAGGACAACTCAGCCTTAAACTAGTACCTAGTGTTATGTGAAAGCACCAGCAATAAGAAGACAGTGGTCCTGGCCAAACTACCCTTTTACCCTTTCATGCACCGTGTCGGCCTTAATGAGACGCTTATTCATGGCACCAACCCCAACCACCTATGCAGACTATTCGCTGGGGATGTCTGCGCCACACACGAGTGGAGCGAAGCAGTGTCTGCATGTGTGCGTGTCGCTGGGCACTGCAGTGGAGTGGCCGTGGGTGGCGCGACACTCACTCTTCTGTGTTGTCGTTCTTGATGCCGAGCCACTCGTTGATTTTCTTCTGCCGCACTCCTTTGTGTGTGAGCCACCTGCACGGCAAAATACGGACCCGTAAGTACAGCGGTAAGTAAGGGGGGGAGCAGTGCACTTTAGTTATTTTGAGCGAAACTGTCGGGCGTGCAGGTAGCAAGAGTTGGCGTAGCGGCGTACGTACATTAGGTACTGGTCGCGGATTTTTCTGAGCTGGATTAGGTCCGGTTTGATGCTGTTCATCAGCTTGTCGATCTCTCGGTTCTCAGTCGCTTGCTTCTTGAGGTCCTGCTCGAGCCGGAGTTTGCTGTCCCGGATCTCGCTCAGCCGAGACTGCAGCTTCTCGTAGTTGAGCATGATCCTGCGAAGAAGAAACACAACCATACTCGCATGTAAGCGAGCCGCGAACCACATGCGTGGGGGGGGGGGACCTAAAGTTTAGAAGGGGGTGAGTGGGTGGCTTTCCACAATGGTCTTAGAGGTCATGCCGCATATGGACATGCTGCTTATCAAGAGAACACGGCACGCAATACGAACAAGCTGTAAATGAAAACACGCTGTGTTGCGTGGGATGCCCCCCACCGCCCGTATCCCCGGCGCTCACCTCTCGATCTCCTTCTCGTTACCCTCCCTCTTGAAGCGCTCGATGTACTCCTTGGTGTAGCGCTCCTGCGTGTGCCGCTGCTCCTCAAATATCTTGATCGTCTCGTTGAACGCCTCGATTGCCGTCCTCTTCATCTGGATCTCCTGTGGAACGGTGTGCGGGGAGAGGGGGGGAGGCAACATTAAACGAATCGCCCATCAAAGCATGAAGCAGCAATGGAGAGTGTGGTGTGTGTGCAGGGTTACTGGCTCAGGTGGCTTGTAGTCCAGGGAAATTCCCTGACTGGACAGTAACTGCAATTGTAAGAAATCTGATGGCAAAACCTAAACGAATGCACAGGATATATAAATATAAAAAAAATATTATAATAAATTACAGCCCTTTGTGAATTTACCGCTAGAAGAAAGCACATCCACAAACCAGTACTGGTCATTTGACCATATATCATGCTGGTCAGTGTGGGTTAGTGAAGTGGGGAGGGCTACCCAGTACCAGTTCAGATATCACCAGCCACTGATGTTAGCTGTGGCCGGGAATCGAATTGAGGTCACCGGGTCTATAGCACAGTGCCCTGACTGCTGAGCCACCGCTCCACCCCCCAACGTCATATTTACACACACAAAACGCCTGACCACTAAACAAACAAATGCGGGTAAGACAAGCATGCTGTGTGGGGGCTGGGATCCAGGGCTGTCTATTTGCGCTGGACAGGTGTCGTGCGAGTTGGCCAGGTACTGTGGCGAGCCCGGGAGGGTTGCGAGAGCGGCGGCGTATATGGGTACGCACGCCAGGTGCTGCGCACCATTACATGCTGTGGTGATCCGTAGGGAACCTCTACTGCGTGCCCGTTGAACAGGTGTGCTGTGCGAACGTTCGACAGGTGCACTATGTACGATTCTGTGCGTGTGTATGTGCTCGCGTGTGTGTGTGTGACCATTGGCACAGTCGGGGCCCACAGCTGGTGCATCTGCCAGTCATCCAATGGCACCTGGGTCTGTCCCGTGGCCTACTCTGTCAGCGAGCCTTCGACACTTCACGTGCACCTGGCCTGGCACAGGCGCCGTAGTGACGTCACCGTCACCGAGCGGCGAATGGCTGGGGGTATTGCTACGTGACCGTGTGTACGTGACCACGTGCACACGCGAGTGGCGGTGTGCAGGGGGTTGCCATAGTGTACTACAATCCCGTCGTCCCACATTTGAGTCTCGGAAATGCACATCAGCCACCATCGGCATGTGACGCAGGTCTGTGCTTGCCCTTGTCCGACTCGGCTTGAACTGTTGGGCCACACGGGAACGTTGCTTAAATGTATGGCGTGCGCAGGTGGCTGTGCGGACCGGCGCCGCGTACCTGTGACGTGCGAGTGTACTCCTCGTAGAGCTTGTCGTAATCGTGGCTTTTGTCCTGGTAGTCTTTGTGCAGCTCCTGGAGCTTCTTGCCAACCGCATCTATGTTGTCCTCCTTCACCACCTGGTCCTGTAGTCACGTGCCCAACACAAACAGACCGCAACAAACGTCAAGTTCAGTTTCTCAATTCATTACGTACCACAATTGCAACAACACGCTCGCAGACCATTTAAACCACCGGTCGCTGACTCTCGCAGCGGTCGGCAATGACGCCACGGTTGAGCCACCTCTCCTCTTGTGGGCGGAAGCAATGCGCTGCTGCTGCTGCGCAGGACGAGCTCTGACGGGACTTCCCATCGCTCTACGCACGGGGCCTACGCGTGCACTGGGGGGCCGAGGTCAGCAGGAAACCCTGCTCTGGTGCGGCTAGTTTGACAAAGGGGAAGTCACGTCTCAACTGCGGTTTGCACGCGCGGGAGTGTGGGAGCGCAAGGATTCTTATTGCTCGTGCCACGGCGGTGCGAGCGCGAGTCTTGGCGCATGCGTGGGCACGAAAGCTCTTCTCATAACGCACCGTCCGTGCAGACCGGGTGGATTATGACCGGCAGCAATGTAGTAGATTTGAAGAGCTCGCAAGAGTAACTAAATAAAAATTGTCTTACGACCCTTCCACCTTATGACAACCTTCTGGGCCTTGTGACGGTGTCGTAGAGGTGCATAAATAAGACTGTGGAGTGATTACACTGGGTTTGAAAATAAATAAAATTGCTGACTACAATACCAAAGGCCCAAAACGTCAAAAAACCCCCAGCAATGTTAAAGAGTTGGAACAAAAAAGAGTTAACATATTACATGAAGTATGAAAGGTTCCAAGACCTTTAAAAACACAGACAATGGGACAGAACTCCAAAGTCGATCAGTGCGAGGGATAAGCAGTAAGCCAAGTGTTTTGACCTGCAAGTGTGATGATGTCACGCAGTATGGTTAAGAGTGAAAGTCAGTCTGGTAGGCAGTCCTCAAAATGGGTAGAGGAATCAGTTTAACTGAAGTTTACGGGAACAGTAATCACGGTATTAACGATAAAAGAGTAATGAGGAGTGTGTATATTTCTGCATGCTAAGCATGTATGACTTCATACATGTATTCTATATTCTGACTGAAGGTAATATCATAATTCTACGAGGTAAAAAAGTTGGTGTGTGCGTGCGTTTTTGTTTGCTTGCATACGTGTGTGTGTGAATGTGCCTCAGTCCCCTTCGCGGTAATTGGCACAGTGGGGAGCAAAGGTGTTGCATCTGCCAGTCATCTCGGTCAGTCAAGACATGGCACCTGGGTGTGTCCAGTGAGCTCCTGCCAGCGAGCGTTCGACAGTTCATGTGACCTCGAGGTGCACCTAGCCTGTCACAAGCACTGTGGTGACGCCACTTGGTGGCGGTTGTTGTTGTGCATGTGGCCATGTGTCTGGCACCTGCTGTGACTTGGAGACCGGGTATTGCAGCTTCACGTCGAGCTTAGGGTTGTACTGCGCCAGCGACTCGTGCCTGTAGTGGGTGATGAGCTCCACGACGGAGTTGAACGTGAGCGGCTCCGAGAAGCCGTACTTGGAGTCGCGGTGAAATATTTTGATTAGCTTATTGTTGCCGCCCTTTCTGTGAAGTTTAAAAGGGGAGGTCGGAGAGATAACGAAGACAGGACAAAAACGTTAAGAGATCGCACCGTTTTAACATGCGACGAGTGTGAGAGTAGAGTAAAAACAGTTGTGATCATGTGCATAATATTCCAAGATGTAATAATGTTATTCACACGTTTTGTTAACCTCAGTCTTAAAGCTCTTATTCAGGAGATTCCTGCTTTAGGTTGTTTTGTGAACTATTAAGAAACATAATGCAAGTGTTTCACCAGTAAGACAGAATGGCAGTGTGTAAAACTGACCAGAAAGTTCATGGCAATTTCTTAAGAAGAAGACTCATGGGCTGATATCTGATCACATTGCATAAAACTTTTGTTGGCCCAATCACGAGACCTATTTCACTGATTATGGTTCAAATCCAGAGATGTGCTTACACGTTTGTTTCCATGGTCGCGCTATTAAGCATATGGAATAGGCATTGTAACATGTGCTCACGATGCATGGATAATGGGCCCTTAATGTATATATGTTTAAATGATGACTTGAATGAGAATGTGCAATGGTCACGTGTGTACACGTGACCATTGCACAGTGCGCGTGTGTGCACAGTGCCACCAACACAATCGCACGATAAGTCTCTTGGATAGGTAACCAAATACAAGAGGGTAAACATTCGGGCTGACAGGCCTCAATTAGAAGGCGTTTCTATATATATATACACACAAAGAGCATTGGTGAAAACTAAAAATAGAATGGTCAAAGTATCAAAACGGTATTTGCTTTCAGGTTTTTTTCCTTCAGTTTTTGGAGAAACGGCTGTGATAAAAGCGACTGGAACACGAACGCATGCATCACCGAGACCGTATATTGTGATGGCTTTAATTTGTAAGATGATCCTGGCCTCATTTCATCGTGGCTCCTGTGTCAAGTACTATTAACCAACCGGTTTCTAATCAAAGTGCACACATACAGATGCAAACAAGCACAGACACACGCACACAAAGATCCCCCATATAGTCTTAACAGGCCGTTGGGGCAAGAGCTGTCAGTGAGCCCCTACTTAGGACGACGACGCGCACGAGGGGGTAGTGAGACCAAGCTCACCCTGGGCCCGCCTTCCGTCTCACCAGTGGCGATGTTTACACACTGCAACAGCTACTCATTTAAGGTTCAGTTGACCTAGGGGAAGCCCAGGAATGGTTCAGATATTTTTCACTCTTGCGAGCAGTAGCCAGGAATAAAACTCAAGCCACCAGGTTCGTAGCGCAGCAGCGTGATAACCGCTACGCTACTGCTCCACCCACAGACACACACAGACAAGCACAGACAGACACACACACTCGCAAGTTGAAGCGCATCCACGTCAGCATGGTGGCATCACACGTGGCACAGAGTTTCTCCATTTTGAACCCCATCAACATTGTGCAGATGTTTCCTCTGGAGCAGATATGGCGTGGCATCGCCCGAGGAAACCTGCTCCACTCCTAAACTAATTTTGTTGCAAACATGGCGAGAGCGCTCGCACGCAAACTAGTTTGGACGCCAGGGTGCTGTTTGAGCCACCAGCAAAGTGTCTGCGAAGCATCTGCCAGCCCCGGGGCCATCTTCCCACAGGTTAACTCCACGCTGGCACTGCCACAAAGCTCCTTGTCTGCCCTGCACCTCTCATCACCTCCTCCCCAAACCCGCCGCCGACTGCTCTCGCTGCTTTCATCTCCTGCAACAGCTCCAATCCCCTTTTCCAACATCTGGAAGGTTTCTTTGGCCCCGGGGGCAACGAAACAGAGAATTAAATAAATATTGGAACACAATAACCAGAGCGGCGTAGAGACAATGCTTGAGATATTACTGGAGCATCTGCCAGGTGAGAGCCTAAGCGTTTTAAAAAAAAAACGAATTAAAGGTTAAAGCGGGGGAAAGCCGCAGGGCTCCAACAGCAAGCGTTGCGGTTGACTTTCTTGCGTGCGACAAAAGGCACCGATACAATACCCTCATTGCCTACAGGACACCGAGTTAATTTCTGCACTGTGTGAAATTATTGTCCCGACGGAAGGTGCCTCAAGATATATGCTGGGCAACTGTCGCAAAGGAAACCGAAGTCACAAGCGCGAGGACGAAAAGCGCACAGAGAAAGAGCACGGTCACGGCGCGGAGCAATGCAGGACGCGAATGAGGGGAGACTTCAAGGGTTAGAGGGTAGGGGGTAAAGGTCAGTTAGCCAGGATTAAGCTCATGGAAAACTGGTAAATGAGAACGAGGGAAAGGCACGCTCTCATTCAGGATGGGTGCGCAATCACGTTGAAATTCGGGCAAAGTGTTAGGAGACAAATTTTGGGTTGGTAAAGGTGTGGAGGGAGCACAGATGTAGGAGGATAGTACAGCGCAACAATGTATTTTGCTACAATGACCTCCCCGTTGCCCACAACGTAGTCCTGCAACAGCCTGTAGTTTTATGAATGGGGGTCACTCATCCAAGTATTCTATCTAGGCACAACCCGGCTTTAGCTTTGGAGATTGGGCGCATTCCGTGTTGACGAGTACGGTCAAATTACAACTGGCGCACCGCGGGAAAGCTCTCATCCAGCAGAAAACTGACAAAAGGGCTGCGCATGGACATGTTTGGCCGCCCGTTAGTGGACTTGGAGAAAATTAAACACCAAAAGCACAGAGAACATTGGGAGGAAACTGAAAGGAAAACGTCACTCAAGCTGTTTGATGCAACAGACAGAGACCTGTGCATTAGTTAGGGTGGTGGTTGTGGTTGGGATCTGTACAAGGCAGGGCCCTCCTGGGAGTTAGGCTGATGGGGGTGATGTTTACGGTGTGACTGTGGCGCGGTGCTGAAGTGTACCTGAGCGTTAGCGTGTAGTCGCCCTGCATTTTGGTGGAGGCATCTCGCACCAGGTAAGTGCCATCGGGAGTGTTCCGCAGTTTCTCGTTCACCTCCTCCCTGCGGGCGTCACGCACGCACGGACACGCGAAGGGAAGAAAAAAGACAAAGATTACATTCACCGCAGGGACCGGCACACACACATGGTTACTTGCGGAAATATGATGGGAATAAGATTGGACAGTGGGAGGCGAAGTTTGTAAATGATAAGCGAACTTTGGCATCCCCGCATCCAAAGCTGTTGTTTTTGTAACAAGTTACAAAATGTTCAGATAATTTTTACCCTTTTCACAACACACACAAATTACAGCCGAAACATAGGGGTGATAAGATGTCTGTATTCGAGGTAAGTCTTCATCATCACTATCACGATCAGCAGTTCACTGCAGAGATGTAGCGATGAAATCGGCTCACGTGTATAAGCTTTATGGATTGTTGCATCACGAGACCACGAGGTTTGGCAACGGCTTAGGGAGGCGGCCTTCCATCCAGCAGTGGCTAGAGGTAGGTTTCATGGCGCAAATCGTCACGGGATCAAATCACACGTCAGCCTAAGGGAAGGAATTTTGAGAGGGACGCGTGGCCAAGGGTAAAAAGAGCTATAGTCAAGAGGTGAGCGAAAGGGGACAGTTAGCACGTCTGGTTCGTTCTCCTTGGCTGCAGGAGCATGGCACAAAAAGGGCAAGTGCTGCACGTCTGCACTACGATCAGGAGGGGGGGGGGGGAATGGGCTGGTTAGCATGCGGCAATCGCATCGATCGGCCGACCTTTGACCCAGCAAGAGCGCGGGGTGAATTGCACTCAATGCAGTCAAAAAGTACTTTAAACGCTCTTGTAGTCAAACAAATCAATAATGATAATAAAACTCTTATAATAATGATACTGTAATATCGGTTAGGATGCTTTTAGACTACAAATTAGCAGGCTGTTACAATAAGAACGGATGGCAGCGTCTTGCCAATCAACTACCACATGAATGTCTCCCTATGGTCGTTCATGGGGGTTGTTAGGCCATTCTTCACCACGCTGCTCAGTGCAGAGTGGTGAAGGGGAGGACCAGGACTGGTTCATATAGCTTGCCAATGTTATGGATCAAAACTGGGTTCATAGTACATTGTGCTAATCACTGCACCACCACTCTTCCCACTGACCTTTTATCATTAATTTGTCACATAAACAAAGTAGTTCATTTTTGCCAACAAGCTACAATCAAACGTTTGCGTTCAGCGTATTATTAATTTACCATGAAAACCGTTCATTCGTTTTCAGTCGTTGAGTCTGGAGTTCGGTTTTAAACTCGATCATTGACTTGAAAAAAATAACCAATGAACTTCCTCTGAAATAAAACTTGACAGGACTGCGCTGGTGGCAGTGCAGAAGCACAGAGCGAAAAAACAACTGCGCTAAAAGTAATCTCAGCCCACATCTCTTTTTTAAAACACGCACGTCGAATACAAAAAAGGATAAAGCACAGTTAGTTTCAAAACTATTTTCCTTTACGCGTTTAGACGCATAAGTAAGCGGTTGCAATGAAGTGACGCAGTAATTGTTTCTTAATCAAGGATTTGCTTATTGTGCCATCAAGATTTTCCACTTGCTCAGTGTTGTTATATGATGGTGTCCACTATTGTCATTACAAACGACAAGTCACTCAAAGCCCGGGGCAACATGGTAGATGAAACGTACTGGCTTCTTGTCTCAATTGAGAATGCTAAGCATGTGTAAACCAGAAAACCTTTTATTTGCGGGTGATGGGAGAAACTTTTATTTCCCCAAACCTTTGCATAACAGCTACTGCATCGTGTCGGCATGTAACGATGTCGGGACACTTTTCGTATTGTGCAACTACTACAGAGAGTAATCTATTTTGCTAAATGCTAAGAAAAACTCCAAACGTCTTCTCGGTTAAACACTGATGAAAATTTCAGCGGGGGAAGAAAACATAACTTCAAAATCTGGCTTGAAAAAAAACCGATTTTTATCGGCACTTGCAATCTTCTTTTTAATTCGACAGGGAATGGATGCTGTGAATGTACTGCGCAGACATTGGTGGGGAGAATGGGGAAATTGTGGTAGAACACTGTGTCCCCAAAATGTCGCAGAAATAGGGGATGCTTAACAGTCGAGCTAATTTTGTAAAATGGAGAATCAAAATGAAAAGCTAGATAACTGAACAGCATGCAAAGCAATCGGGACTTGGAGGCTGTGTCATCATGCCGCGTGGAAACTTCACACGCAACGCAGTCCCAGTTGAGGACTGTACAGTATTGTACCACTGGATTTTATGTTCTAGTATTGGCTTTTCAGTGGCATATTTTTTTAAACCTTTTTGAGGACACATAACTGTAGGTGGCATGGTGTATAAACACCACCACCACACACTGGTGTATGAACACCAGTGTGTGGTGGTGTCGTATGGCCGGCGAGTGTGATGGAGGCGGCAGGGGAGCGGAGTGATGCGGGTGCGAAGATGCTCACCTGGAGATGTCGCCCCAGTACCACTCGGCGTCCTGTAGCAAAGTGCTGCTCGTCTCCTTGATGCCGTTGCTGTTTGGCAGCGGTGCTGGAGTCTTTGGCGGCTTCGGAGGGAGCGCTGTGTGGGAAATAAGCAGAGACCAAGCACGCAGTACGTTAATCAACAGGAAAACATTGATACAAATGCTATGTTGCAGAAAGAGTTGATGGTGTGGGCACAAAACATTTTGGAAAGAACACCGATTGGAGGTCACACAAAGTGGAGTAAAATGGTTAGGCGTTGGTCTTGTCATATGCTACATGAACTGATCAGAATACACCTCTAGGTTCTCGTGATAGGCAAAAAGTTTTGGCCACTTTTATGCAAACATAGGCTGCCACCCAATCCCATTAGCGGTGTTCACCAGCTGTGGGAATACAGGACAAGCCATGCTTAAACGCACTTTTTTTTATAACAAGCATCACGCGAAAACACTTTTTGTCGTACGGTCCACCATAGCGTTTCATTGTACGGCAAAGCATTTCATTCCACTCGGTACCAGTCTTTGAGATGCGCATCTTTTTCACATATCCTGGCCTGTCTGCTTTGTATCAAAACCATCGGTCGGGAGTTGGACTGAAAAAGAAGTCTCATTTTCCTTTCAGACCCCACCACTCCCCACCCCCAACATCTAACTTTTTTTATTTTGGCTCCACTTTATGGAAACTTTAACAGACTTAAGTTTAGCCAAAAGGAAAGGGGGGAATGAAGATAGAAGCTTGGCTAGGGGTCAAGCTGAGTTGAGGCTTCACGACTGCGGCCTTATGCAGGTGCGGTTGAGACTTGCCATTTGATTTACCCATCTAATTATACCTGCCCTGAGTAACGGTTGAGCACTGGGACTCGCTTCTTCTCGTTTGCACTGCAGGATGTCGCACAGGCTTGCAGGCCAGCTTTCAATTACGCTGAAACCGCTGAGTGTCCCTTATTGGATATTGCACCAAAAATTCCTCAAAACGAAACCATAATGAAATGGTTAATTAGGTTGGTCTGGTATTGGAGCGAGACCCAGGGCACATGGGCTGCCGTAAATCGCTGTAACGTCTCGGAAACTTTAATCTGCCCACTCTTTATTCAATGGCCACAACGCAAAAATAAAGACCTCACCAGTTGCCAACAACATGTAGCATTGAGTGAATTTGGAGAAGGAAACAACAGTTTGCACGCAACTTGCCATCATGTGTCGAGAACGATTATTCAAAGATATACTTTGTTGCACGCACATGCGCATGTGCGTACGATAAAAGGCAACAGCCCAGAAAATGCTTGCTCATGCTGCTGCTGGCAGAACGATCTCCAATAGCTCCACGAAGCCCCCTCTGGAGGGTATTTGGCTTACTCTTTTAAGCAGGCCAGATGTCTTGGAAGAAGCTGTGAGAGTACCCACATTTTAACCTACCGCACACATCCCGCTGATCGACTAACTTGGACGTATCCATTTGTTCTGCCAGGTGAACTGAGGTGGGTGGGGGGGATTTCATAAACTTTCTCATTTTACATACAGTACTGGGTACGGAACTGGACAAAGAAGGGCGGAAAGCAATGGGTGGAGGGGTGGTTGGGGGGGGAGTACTCTCCACCCATGAACCAGTTGCACAAAAGACGCCTCTTTCTCAACAGCGCTCAAAAGTTTTGGCATGGCGTCCAAGCGCGCCTCTTGGCTTGCGACGGATCTCCCTGCCTGACCCGCTGGCTTTCGTTACGCCGGAACACGTGGTTCTCCTCCGCCGGTCGTCTCGCTTATTTCATTAATTCACGTTCGGCAGCGAAGAGAAGGGAAAAAAGGGCAAAAAGGGCGAAGTCTGCACAAGGGCGGTGCGCGAATGTGGCCAAGCCGCCGCCGAAATTTACAAAACTCCATGTACAGCTTTGCTAAGTGATTAACAATTCTGCGTGTGGTACAGTTTGTACCTTTTCCCATTATTATGTAATCTGGCCACGAGCCGCTCCCTTTTTTTAGTAAGGTTAAGTATAGAAACAAAATATTTGTATGATGACCTTTCTCAAACTAAACTCTTGCGAGTTTGCGTTGCATTTCATCCGTCCATTCACTGGATGTTCATTTGTTCGATTGGTCGTTCCACTCATTAATTCATTCCAATTCACCATTCGTTTCACTTTGCCTGGCCTAGAACACCGCACTTCCCAGGCCAGAGATGCTCGTGGTAACGTTGAAAGCGAAGCGAACCCGAGCTTAGTTCTCACTGCGCCTCGCTACACACTCCACCTTGCACTGCGCCCGTTACTCAGCCAAAGCGCTCACAGAGCCCCCATTCAACGAAGCACACGAGTGATTTTTTTTACATCCCCGCCTCTTTCTTTCCACTGAAGAATCTTTTTCAGGCCACTGACTCACTAAGCCTGTGGTTCCTGGCACCAGCTGAGCGAGATTTATTTATTTATTATTGTAATTTGTCACGCGATGGACTTGCGCAATGTCTACGTGCTGCCATCAGCTTTTTTTTCGTGCACCCACTGCCCCCATTTCTCCTCCCTCATCCGCACACCATAATAAATAACGGTCCAGGGCTTTTGCCACATTAATACCCAACTGCTCAGCAGCACGCACATGACCCAAACGCACAAAGAAATGATCACTGCAACTGGTTCCAAGTTTGTTACGCGTCATCATAGTTAAAAGGTATTCAGGTAGCACACCACATCTGTTCTAATAAGTAATGTGTGGTTTACCGATGTCTCCACAGTAGTTAAGGCCAAATGTGTCCTGCATTTTGTAATTTCACATATTAGCAATTCGAGCATGACTTGTGAAATTACTCAAAGAGGGGCACCAAACAAAGTAATTTGAAGGCAGCGAATTCTGTCTCCTGGTGACGTTATATTAAAGTGGCCTCACTGGAACTCACAAGAAATGGGGGGGGGAATGACAATGTAGGCCAAGTGTACTAAGTGCAGCAGGCCATTGCCACGTCTAGCGATGAAAGGCAGCTAACATTCATTCCACTCGATTAACTTGGGTGAGGAGGAGCTCCTCGTCGAGAGGAAGTGGCAGGAGATTAAAAGTTCAAACGACGACTCCACCCGGAGGTAAATCCTAGGGACTGAGGCCACCGGTGACGTGTCTGGGGTTGTGGGAGAGGCACTGGAGGAGTGCTCGCGCATTGGCCAGACAAGCAGCAGCAGCAGCTAAAATTACGTCTTCGTTAATGGGGCCTCCTGTGAGTTGAGCAATGCCGTGCACTCCCCTCCCTCGCCACCACTGCCCCCCCCCACCTCTTTGCCCATAAGAAGCATTTTCCTTCCCGTGTGTGTGCATCCCCTGCGTGTGCCCCTTTGTTTAACGATCCCTGGATATGCTACCAGTGGCCCTGTAAACGAAGCGCTGCCCAATTTGTGCGCTACCGGCTGCCCATCCCCCACAGCAACTTCCTTCCAGCCTTTAGCCGCCATAGTTTTACTTTAGAATCCTGGTTCCGAGAGGAAAAGTGGGCGAGTGCTGGGCAATGACAAAGGCTGCTATCGAGATGGTTCGGCTCTCTAATCACCCACTGGGCTCAACGATTCCAATGCCCTGGGCCGTAGTAAACTCGCAGATTTTCACTGCAGGCAAGTGATCGCCACACGTGGCTTGCTTTGTTAACATAAAAATGTAACGACATTAGTTGTTCACCGCTTCTAAAAAACTTTTGTTTTCTTGGTTTGCTTTGTTCTGTGGGTGCTGCCGTTGGAACATTCATTTTGTGCAATGTAAGTTCTGGGGAAGAAATGTAAAATGCTGAGAACAAACATCTTAGACAAATCCCTCATTAATTTCTACATACAATGCAACTCATCGGACTAATGCGCAATACGACACCACCGCACATGCAAACCGAGATGAACCAAACACTTGAAATGACGGGAAGTTTGAGAAATGTAACATCGATAGAGACAAGTTTATGCAAGCAAAACACTGCGGTTTTACACACAAGTGCCGTAACAGTTTGTAAATCACAACTGCGTGCCATGGACCAGCCAACATTTCGCCAATTCTGTGAAGATTTACTAAATGGCAGACGAGACATCCCCTACACATCCTGGGCATGTCCACATAGCACCAGTAACCCATTCCTCAAATTAACCAATACATTAATTGTTAGAATTCTGAACCACTGTGAGGGCTCAAAGGTTAATGAGGACACAGACTTTCGTGATAAAATAAAGAAACGCACTGTTTTCGACGTGAAGGCCTCTGGGCAGCAATTCCGAAAGTGCAACGGTATCGCCGAATGCTGAAACTCAATCGTATGGCAGGAAATGTGTCAACCGGTTGCTCCAACGTATTGACATTAGAGGGAAAACTGTTCCCTACATGTGCACAACCTCAATGAGACTTCATTCCCAATGACCCTGCAGAGGCATGTGACCACACGCACCTAAAGTCGGACACAGCGCTCAATAAAACAAGGCTTTGGCTGTAGCCGAAATATGTCAATATTATTTTACCTCAAAAGTCACAAAAAAAAGATAATTAAAGCTGTAATTAAAAGCAGCCAGGCACATTCGCAATAAATAAATCCAGCAGGATCAAGCGTGGGAATTTTACTCTATGCCAGGAGATGGCTGCAGAACGATTCCACATACCACACAGGCTCGAAAAGGCGAACTTAAGCAGCTAGGCCACAAATCCTTACACAAGGCCGACTGTTTGCAGAAAAGTCCCTCAGGAGTCGTGCTAAGCCCAGCGGACCGGGCGTGGCCCCCCCAGAAGAAAATGAGGAAAAATAAATAAAAGCGGCGTTTTTTTTTTTAACCTCACGTTCCAGGAAGTACCAGGTGTGAGGTTCTGGGGAGCTAGGAGGGTGCAGGTGTAACGCTAATGAAAGAGCCATTGTAGCCAGGTGTACGGTTGCTCCAAGTCCTCTTCCTCACCCTGAGCACCCCCCCCCCCCAATTCCCTTCCTCTCCCCCCAACTTTCAACCTTTTAGTTGCAGTAGTAAAATAGAATTGAAAGTAAAAAACATTGTAAGACCCTTTTTTTGCTCTTAGAATTTTTTAATTATGGTCACCCTCTGGGCACGTATACAACGAACCACATGTGGATTGTAGCCATGGGCCTGAGTGTAGTTTGTGCTGA